AAATTAAACTTTACATGATTGTGGGAGATACAGGGCATAAAGTTTTGTAAGAGAATGGTCACTTACCAGAGACCACAAAAGGAGCTAGTGTAAGTCTGTGGATGGTTGTAGACTTTGCACTTAGTTGTTGTTCTTAAAGTAACTGTAGATGAAGTCCAGACTGGGAAAGAAAAATGCATGCAAAATAGGGAAATCAAAAGCACTAGAATATGCTAGGATGAACTGGAACTTGTGGGAACAAATGAACTGAGTGTTTCTCTCACCACCTCTCATCTTGGTTGTGCAGCTGACCTACAGAAGCTGGTGTTCTTTGTTATGTAACTGCAGGTGTGTTTGGGAGAAGCTGTGGGAGGAGAGTTTATTACACATTAGTCATCTGCAGCTTTGCTTGGGAGGGGCTGTAGGACAGGCTTCATCTGGAGCTGGAGGAACATCTAAAATCATAGATTTGATTTCTTAAAATAGACTTAGTGTTTGGAAAAGCTGCAACAATTGAAAGGAGAATCAGAACACCTCAGTCACAGCTTCAGGCTCTTAGAAATTTGAACCATGCAGATGATCAACTTGACCTAATAGAGCATTCTCCCAACAAACATAATATATATCCTTTCATCTACAAATGAAACATTTGGAAACTTTTGCTATTAATATTTGAATTAAGTAGTACTGTGTAAATTCTTAAGTGTATATAGTGAAATCCCTACCCCTTTTCCTCAAGCATTTCAAATGAACCACTGTTGCCAGTTTCTATATTTTTGTAGATACATTCTATGCACACATAAACAAATAGCTGCAGATAATTTTTCTTTATTTTCTAGCATAAATAACATTTTCATTATTTTGTATACTCAGATTTTTATTTTCAACTTCTATTCTTTTAATAGTTTGTAATGATATTTTAACATGCACAGTTGACTAAATCTAACATTAGTTAACATCTCTACCATTCTTCTAAACCATTTGAAATTATTAGAATCTGATTGCCCCCTTATTGCCTTCTAGGATGTTACTACCAGAATTTAACATTTACCTATAATTTTATTGTTACAGCTATTAATATTTTATATATCACTGTTTGCTTAAATTTACCTAAATTGTTACCACTTTCTTTGCTCATCTTTATTTCCATTTATGTCCTTCCTTCTGGAATAAATTTGTTTTTTTAGAGGTTTCTTCAGTGGAGATCTGAAAATGATAGGCTTAATTTTCTGAATATATATATTCTCATTCATCCTTCATGGGAAGTTTAGCTACGTGTAAAATCCTACAATGACTCCTATTCTCCCTCAGCCCTCTGACAATGTTATTCCAATATTTCTGGTTTCTAAATTTGCAGAAAAGTCTTCTATTTTCTTTAGATCTTCTTTAATTTCAAGTAAGGAGCCCTGGTGGCATACTTACTAAAGCACTTGGCTGCTAACCAAAAGGTGGGTGGTTAGAACTCACCAGCCTCTCCACAGAAGAAAGATTTACAGCCTTGGAAACCCTGTGGGGCAGATCTACTCTGTCCTATAGGGTCACTGAGTTGGAATCCACTTGATGGCACTAGTTTGTTTTTTGGCCAATTTCTACTGTCAATGTTTTGTCATTGTTGGCATAAATATTTCGCATATTTCTGTTAAAATTTCCCTAAGTTAACATTTATAATTGTAAATGATAACAATTTTGAAAGAAGTTTTCCAGTTGTTCATTGTTATTATATAAAAAATTTAATTCATTTTGTATATTCACTGTATGTCCTGCAGTCTTGCTAAATTCACTTGTTAATCTTAATACCTTATATAATTTCCTAGGGTTTTTACCAGTAATATGTCAGACAGTGTTTCACTGATACTCATAAGATTTTAAGTGGCCAATTATTTCAGAAATGAATGGCCCCGTCCAGCTTTCCAGTCTATCTTAGTCTGGAACCTCCACTGAAATCAACCTACCAAGGGTGACCCTGTTGGTATTTGAAATATGGTGTCATAGCTTCCACCATCACAGTAACATGCAACCCACCACAGTACAAGAAATTGACAGACAAGTGGTGGTTTTATTATTTACATAATCATATTACTCCTTATTTTCTAATCTGTCTGCCTTTCATTTTTTCCCTTTCTTGTTACACTGTCTAGGACATGTTGTACAATGCTGAACAGAAGGAGTTGGAATGGACATCCTTAACTTGTCCTTGGTCTTAGGGGCAAAACATTCAGTATTTTATAATTAAGTATGATGTAAGCTGTAGGTTTTTTTAGATGCCTTTTATCAGTTTGAGGACATTCCCTTCTATTAACTAGTTTACTGTGACATTTGATCATGAATGGGCTTGGAACTGTGTTAAATGATTTTTCTGCTCTTTTGAAATAATTTTAAACTTGCATGCATATAATGAAATAATTTTAGTGTACATACAGTGAAACTAGGGAGAAAAAATTAATAAATTGAAGATTTCAAAATAATTTTCCCTCAATCACTGATAAAATAAATATAAATAAAAATTTAGTGAGAATACAGAAGAATCAAACAGGATAATTAACAAGCTTAATTAAAAGAGCTCTGTACCTAAGAATGAATTCACATTCTTGTCATATCCATGAAGCATTTATAAGAATATTTCTTTTGTGTGGAACCCATTTTTTTGACTTTTTACAAAAAAATATTGTCTCATACAGTATTTATCTTTTTGTGATTGACTAATTTTATTTAGCATAATATGCTGTGTTGTTGTTGTTGTTGTTGTTATGTGCCATCGAGTCGGCCCCAACTCATAGAGACCCCTCCTTGGATTTCCGAAGCAGTATCACTACGGAAGTAGATTGCCCAACCTTCCTTCCAAGGAGTGGCTGGTGGGTTTGAACCGCCAGCCTTCTGGTTAGCAGTCAAGTGCTTTAGCCATTATGCTACCAGAGCTCCTTAATATGCTCTAGTTCATCCAAATTATGAGACGTTTCCCAGATTCGTCATTGTTTTTTAACGTTCTATAGTAAATAGTTGGGAAGCTCTGGTGGCGTAGTGCCTAAGGCATTTGACTGCTAACCAGAAGGCTGACGGTTCAAACCCACTGGCCATAAACCCACCAGCCACTACTCAGAAGGAAGATTGTGCAATCTACTTCTGTAGTGATACCACCTTGGAAATCCAAGGAGGGGTTGCTATGAGTTGGATCGAGTATTCAATTGTGTGTATATACCATAGTTTGTTAATCCATTCCTCTGTTGATAGGCATTTAGGTTGTTTCCATCTTTATGTTATTGTGACTAATGCTGCGATGACTACGGGTGTGCATTTATGTGTTTATGTCACCACTTTTATTACTCTACGATACATACCTAGTAATGGGGTTGCTGGATCATATGATATTTCTATTTCTAGCTTTTTAATAAAGTGCTGTACCTTTTCCTATAGTGGTTGCACCATTTTAGACTCCTACCAGCAGTGTATGAGGGCTCTAGTTTCTCCACACAATAGCCAGCATCTATTGTTTTCTCTGTTTTGAACTTTGCTGTTAATGCTGGGGTGAGATATCTCATTATTGTTTTGATTTGCATCTCTCTAATGGCTAATGGGGATCTCTGGTGGCATAGTGCCTAAGGCATTTGACTGCTAACCAGAAGGCTGACGGTTCAAACCCACCAGCTACTCTTTGGAAGGAAGACTGGGCAATCTACTTCTGTAGGGATACTGTCTCAGAAACCCAAGGAGGGATCACTATGAAGTGGATCTGACTTGATGGCAGTGGAGGTTTTTTTTAATGACTAATGTAGCATAGTGCCTAAGGCTCTTTACTGCTAACCAGAAGGCTGGAGTTTCAAACCCACAAGCTACTCCTCGGAAGGAAGATAGGGCAATCTACTGCTGTAGTGATACTGCCTCGGAAACCTAAGGAGGGGTCACTATGAGTCAGGTCCAACTTGACGGCACATAACAACAACAACAATCATAAGCATTCCTTTGTTAGCAACTTGAATGTCTTCGGTGAAGTGTCTGTTCGTGTCCTCTGCCCATTTTTTATTTGGATGATTTGTCTTTTTTTGTTAAAGTGTTGATGCTTTCTGTAAGTTTTAGAGATTAGCCCTTTCCAAAATATTGTTTCCAAGAGTATATTCCCAGTATTTTTACTCTTTGGAAGAAATTTCTTGATGTGCAATGTCTAATTTTTAGGAAGTCCCAGTCACCTGTTTTTATTTTCTGGTGTCTGTGTGGTTTTGGCTATGTTCAGTAGTGTTTTATGCCATGAATTAGTGCCCCTAAATATTTCCCTGTTATTCCTTTGATGATTTTTATGGTTTTAGGTCTTACAGTCAGGTCATTGATCCAACTTGAGTTCATTTTTGCATATGGTGTGAGATATGGGTTCTGTTTCATTTTTCCGCAAATGGATACCCAGGTTTGCCAGCACTATATTTTTAAAAGAGACTAGCTTTTATCTACTTCATGAGTTTTGGCCTTTTGTCAAAGATCAGCTGTCCATAGGTGGATGGATTTACTTCTGGGCTCTGAGTTCTGTTCCATTGATTTTTGCGTCTGTTGTTGTACCTGTACCAGGGTGTTGTAACTGCTGTGCCTGTGTAGTTCATTCTGATATGGGAGATAATGCTCTTCCATTGCTTATGTTTTGAAATTTACCTAGACTCAAGAGTCTTTATTCAAAATTATCTAAAATTGACTTGACTTTTGCTATTTTCCAATAGATTTTTATCCATCATTTTCAATTATATATAATATTTAGTATTTAATTATATTTTAAGTTTCAAACCATTTATAAACTTCATCTTATACATTTCAAGAATAATTCTTATTTAAATAGTTAATTCATTTCCCACTTCTGCACATCATGAAATTTGTATGCAAATAAGTGTCGGTGACTTTCCTTCTAGATAATTTTTATTTATTTATTTATTTTTTAATTTTCAAGTGTTTCTTTCAGAATCCGTTCATGTTTTTCAGGTTGGTGAAGATTTTTTTGTTTCTTATATAATCAGCTATTTTAATTATTGTTATTATTTGATTCACAGGGTCAAAGAGAATAAGCGATAGTGAAGTCTCTGACTATGACTGTGATGATGGAATTGGTGTAGTATCAGGTAAGAATTTTCCCTGTTAAATTATTAAGAAGGAAGTGTCATCACTATTATTTACCAAAAAATAGTGTGCAGGAAATAACTTGTTTTCTGTCTCCCAAAAACAACTTTATGGCAACATTAGGGCAATTTTAACAAACCCCTGAAAAATTCCCTTTTACCAATTATTATACTGACCATTCATATTGAAAAAATGCCAGAGAAGTAAATATTATAAATTTTCTATTTGCTAAACTACCAAATAATAAGGATTTTTATTATAAATTTGAGGAATTTATTGAATAGTTGAAACTATTTTGTTACACTAACATTGTTTAAAAAAAAAAAAAGAAATCTTTTTAATACCACTAACATAACTAAAGGGAGCTCTGGTAGCATAATGCCTAAGACTTGACTGCTAACCAGAAGGCTGGCGGTTCAAACCCACTAGCCACTCCTCGGAAGGAAGATGGGACAGTCTACTTCCGTAGTGATACTACCTTGGAAACCCAAGGAGTGGTCGCTATGAATCAAGCCAGACTCGGCAGCACATAGCAACAACAACAACAACATAACTAAATATGTTAACTTTTTGAATAGAGATTCTAAATTTTTTATTGTTATGTTAAGTATCATAATTTCCTATATAGCTAAATTTTAAAACTACAGTAATATATTTTAAAATATTGCCTCATTTCATGGTTAGAGATTTACCCAATGATTTAATATTTCAGGTAAGTAGCTTCTTTTTCTATAATTCCTGAAAAAATATTTCTATATATGTGGATATGTATATGTATTACCCTTAGTAATATAAGAAGTTTTGATTGTGGTCTTCTTAAAGATTAATTAACTGGAAAATGTCATAGTTATCACTAATTTTATCCTTAACAAAATGTGGTCTATTGTATGTAAAATATGCTACAGTTGCTTTGATGAGGAATAACATTTTTGTTGATAATGTTTATTACGGAATGTGTGACTGTCATTCTATAAGTGCACAACTTTTTAAAAACCTAATGACTTTTTCTGCTTTTATTTTTTTCATGAAGGCTGAACAATATATTTATGAAAAACATTTTCACTGTTTTATGGTTTGTAAATTAAATAAATTAAACCTCAATAAAGCAATCTTTGAAAATATTTGCCATGGTCTCTTGCTCTAAGATAATTACAATCTTTTTCTATTGTATTCAATTCTTTTGTTAATTGACTATTCTACTTCTCTCTTTTTTTAAATTATCTAGCTTCATATGGTTTTTTCATCTAAAATATTTCCCTTCAAGCCATTAAATCCCTTTATCTTCATGTCAAATTTAGTGTATCTCAATTCTTTTATTTTCTGTTCTGAGAATGGAAAAACTGATTTAATTTTTTAAATTCTGTCAAAGGAAGTATATATTTTGTAAAAGCTTTATAGGCTCTCTCATTATTTAAGTTAATGCTCTTTGGAATGATTTTTTTGCTATTACAGAATAGTATTTAGAAAACCTACATACTTCAAACATAGAAATTATTATTCTTTCTTCTCCTGCTTTTTTTTTCTGCCTGTGCAGAGACTTATTCTGTTGAGGAGAAAAGACCGCTGTGCAATATGCTATCTTTTGCTATTTTTAAACCAATGTGTTTTTGAAGGGTAGCTCTTCCATGGTATAGTGTACATTAATAGTACTTTAATTACTCCTTGGGTTCTGTCACTATTGTTGTTGTTGTTGTTATGTGCCGTCGAGTCCGACCCGACTCATAGGGACCCCTCCTTGGGTTTCCGTGGCAGTATCACTACGGAAGTAGATTGCCCCATCTGCCTTTCGAGGAGTGGCTGGTGGATTTGAACCACCAGCCTTCTGGTTAGCAGTCAAGTGCCTTAGGCACTAGGCTGTCACTATTAGAACTGTTTAAGTCATCTCCACATAATCACCAATAGGGTTATATTATTGTAACTTCTGGAATATTAACTTTTCGTAAACTCATCACTTAAATAAATGATGTAGCAATTACATTTACATGAGTATCATGATAACTAAGATAAACATTTTGTTAAATATTTTTCTTATATATGCACTGTACCCCTTGCATGAATAAAGGATAAAAATGCTATATTAACATTTTAAACACTTACAAGCTACTACACCAGCAAGTCTGTTTATACTTCATAGTCCGGGAACAAATACTGTTTCCATCCATAGACCTAATGTCTGTCAAATTCAGATTATGAATTACAGCCATTCATAACTCTTTTTAACCTGAACTTTCAACCTTTTTTCAAGAAGGAACTGTTTTTTGCTGCTGTATTAAGTTTACCTTTTATTCAAAAATTCATTCAATTTTTCTGAGTTTGCAGGGCAGATGTCATAAAAATTATCTATGCCTGCAGTGATATTTTTCATGTTTTTTATTTTGCTTATTCTGATAAATTCAAGTCAATGGTAATTTTGACATTTGCATTGGTAGTAATTATTTTACACAATAAGTGGAAAGTTTGATTTTTATTGAGATTTAGGTTTGTCAGGTAAGCAACTCTGAACGTGGATATTGTGGCTACTGATACATTGAGCAATGGGAATGGTTAATGGTTTTTTGTGCATGCTGTGTGTGTGTGTATGTGTGTGTGTAGCCCTGGCGGCACACATGAAATGGTTATGTGCTTGACTATTAGCCAAAAGGTTGATGGTTCAACCCCACCCAGGACATTAGGCTTTTAAAACATCTTAAATGTTTTGCTAATTAGCTTTTAAAAGTCACCTTTAATATTCTGACTTGCTAAGTCAACAATCTATCTCCAGTATTAATTTTTCTCACTTCTCAATAGCACTTTGTTGTTGTTGTTGTTATTATGTGCCATCGAGTCAGACCTGACTCATAGCGACCCCTCCTTGGGTTTCCGAGGCAGTATCACTATGGAAGTAGATTGGCCAACCTTCCTTCTGAGGAGTGGCTGGCTGGTGGGTTTGAACCGCTAGCCTTCTGGTTAGCAGTCAAGTGAAATATTTATATTTTCTGAAACTATGTTTTCCTATATTTCTTTTTTTGGGGGAGGGGAGTAAAACTTTTTATAGTGATTTGGGTGAAAGTTTTGCAGAGCAAGTAAGTTTTCCATTCAACAATTAATCCACATTTTGTTTCGTGTCATTGATTGCAGTCCCCTCAATGTGACGTCACTCCTCCCACATCCTTCCCATGCTTCTCGTTTCCACTCCTCCTTCTCTCCTAACCCTTCCTGCCTTCTGAACTTTGTCCTTAGGCAAATGCTGCCCTTTTGATCTCTTATGATTGATTAGGAATGTCTATCTTCCTAGCATTATTGTTTACCTTAAAGACCTGTGTGTTGTTTGAAAATTTAAGTACAGAAGTAAGTTCAGTTCCAGGTCTGAAGGGTTACCAAGGGCCATAATCTCAGAGATTCACCAGTCTCTTATCTGACCAGTAAGCCTAGTCCTTTATATACTTTTGAGTTTTGTTCCACATTTTCCTCCCACTCTATAAAGGACCTTCTAATATGATCCCTTTCAGAGCAGTTGGTCATGGTTGGTGGGTACCACCTAGTTCTGGTCTCAGGGTCAGGAAGGCTGAAATTTGCATGGTCCATTAGACCTGTGGACTAATTATTCCCATGTGCCATTTGTTTTCTTCACTCTTCTTTGCTCTGTATGAGAAGAAACCTATATTAACCCTTTGAAAGGGCAATCATAAGCTTTTAAAACCTCAGTCACTACTCACCAAAGTAGGATGTAAAATATTGTCTCTGTGGACTATATTTTCCAATTGTCCTTGATATCCCTCCTCCCAGAGTATGGTCCTGAGTCCCTAGGCCCAGTGTCTCACTCCTTCAGAGTTTTTGGTTTTGTCTAAGAAGTTTTCATAAATTCTCTCCCTGTGTGCTCCGGTATGACATGGATTTCTTTCCACTGTATGTAAACACATATGTGGAAATGTTCTCTGTCAAACCAATGCATATTTGTGGGTATAGTCCCATTCTCCTCTCACACCAGTTCTGCTCCCATGTCTATCTATGTATCCACTCCTAGATTATTGATTATTTTTATTAATGTTATTGCAAGATTGCATATGAATTAGTATTTACCTCTGTTGCCTTTAACTCTAGTACTACTCCTACCAGCATCTTCCTTTCCTTTATCATTTTGTGCTCTGACCTCTTCCTTATTGAATATTTACTTCCCTTCACTCAGTTAATATGTATCTACCCTCTAGTTAGTGGTTTACCCTTCCTTCGCCTCCCATCCCTGACTCATTGCTGTTCTTTAACATCACGTACAATCCATTGTGTGTGTATTCAATAGTTCTTCTATCCATTCATCCATTGGTAGCCATTTAGGTTGTTGCCATCTTTATGCTGTTGTGAATGGTGCTGTGGTGAGCATGGGTGTGCATTTATCTGATTGTGTATTGGCTTTTATTTCTCTAGGATATATACTTAGTAGTTAGAATGATACTGCCTTGGAAACCCAAGGAGGGGTCGCTATGAGTCAGGTCCGACTCCACGGCACATAACAACAACAACATAGTATTCCTATTCCTTGGTTTTTATGAAAGCACCTTGTCAGCTGTACCATTTTAGTGTCCCACCAGCAATATATGAAGGTTGCAGTCTCTCCATACCCTTGGCAGAATTTTTTTGTTGTTGGTTTTTTTTTTTTTTTAATTTTGCTTTTAATGCTGGGAGGAACATATTTCATTGTTGTTTAGATTCACATCTCATCAATGGTTGTTCTGGTTACCTACTACCACTCTGACAGGAATATACCACAAATAAGATGGCCTTAACAAACAGGAGTTTATTCTTACAATTTGGAGGCTTTAAGTCCAAGTTCAAAGTGCCAGGTTCTAGTGGGTGGGTGAAAGCCCCTCAACCTTGGGGTCCAGCTCAACCTTCTGCTCCCAGCCCACTGGAACTAGAGGCATTTCTTCACTCAGACAGCTGCTGGCTGCTGAGGCTGAGAAGCCCCAAGGTTGACAAGTAAAAAGGCACAGTCCCGATGTTACC